AAATGCTACAAAAACGGCTTGATCTGAAAAGAGCTGTTTTTGACAGGGTAAAAAAGGTGTTTTTTACACTACCATTGAGAAATTTTAACCAAACTATGTTACAGACTTTTCATTAAGACCCTAAAGAATCATATCAGCTTGTGGAAAATGGGCATCCTATGACCCCTTTAACACTAACCCTTGTGGGCTCCATATCAGTCTTACTAAGACAGACATACAGGGTAGGGAAAAAACATTCCCTGTAGATCTCCTCATTTGTTTATGTAAATAAATAGGCCTACAGTATACATTGAATCTGTAAAGATTAGGTCAGTGAAGAGCTCAGGAAGCAAATCAAGTACCAAAAAAACTGAAATTCCATTTTAGAATTGTACTTATAGTAGTTTATTTTTAGATTCACATTTGTGCACGTTTGAATGAATGTTCGCATATTTAAGTGAAATGGGCTTGTGTATAGAGAACAATAGAAACTGTCCAGAAAAAAGCTAAATAGTGGTTTAATGGTGATGGACATTCTTGTCATCATAGGCCAAGTAGCCTATAAAATGACTATGTAATTTGTAAATATCAGCGGCCACTGAAAAACGTGATATTGGCATTTTCTTTTATCTACTGTATTTTTCTGTAAAACTGTTCAATGAGTACAGTAAAAAGCACTGTGCAATTCATCTGAAATAAACTGAAAACAAAAGCAGATGGGTTGCATATCCAGCTGTGTGTTTTGAATTTATTTTTATGAAACTTGTCTAAAGGCTTTCAGAAATGTCAACTTGATATCTTTGTTTCATCACCAAACAAGCAGCACAGATCATGTAATCTTTTTCTTTGTGTTGCATCTAAATGTGAATCAGCCACGTTTACACTGCCAGTCTATGAAGCAACTGCAACCATTTCCTAAATGTTATATACATATTGATGAAATGGGCCATGAAAATAACTGCTGCTGACTCTGCAAAAACATTATACAAACTTCCTCTGGTATTAAAATGTTTAGAGAACACAAATCGTCTGCATGAATTCAAACTAAATGTATGGAAAACAGCACAGAGACACCTTTTACATGTTATCCTATGTTTTTAGCCCATCCGATCCGATCATGCTGCAGGCTCGGGATTGGGCACACCTCTATATGATCCTTTTTTCTATTGGCCGGGCGCTTCAGTGGGTCGAACTGGCGTAGCGGCTGCCTGACTTCTGATTGGTTCGCTTTTCCGTCTGTCCATGTTGCTTTCTCTCGTGCTGCGGTCTCGGCTGATGTGAGACCAGCTTTAGGAACCAATGGAATAAAAGACATGCTAATTGCGGCGAAGGCAGATATTCTTCCGCCAAACCCTGACAGTAATGCTTTATCCAAGAAACAGTAATGGCAGTGGTCAAGAGCGAGCATTATATACAGTATTCAATGTGAACAAGATATTATTTAACACTTTTAGAGACCCTCCAATGTTCCTTTTAATTGTTCTGAATTCTATAATAGGAACTATACGTATATCTGATCCTTATATGTATTGTAAATGCAGTCTGAAGTTCAAAATAACTATAAAAATATAATATAAATATGTGGTCCATTGCTCCCCCCCATCATCCTTATTAGTTGGCGTCACTTAACCGTTTTAGTTCATGAAGTTTCATGAATATATAAATGATACAGACTCCCCATTCGTGAACAAGCCGAATCTTTTCAATTAAACCACTGAATCGGTTCACAAAAACCGTTCTGTTTGCAAATCGTCCTGACTCTGTCCGAGCGGTTCTCTAGTCACTGACTCACTGAATCGATTACAGTTTTATAACAGTTTTGGTAGCAGGGGCGAACATGTGAAGAATATGTTGATTACAGT